ACTGGGAGGGGATTGGGAGGGACTGGGAGGGGACTGGGAGGGGATTGGGAGGGACTGGGAGGGGATTTGAGGACACTGGGAGGGGACTGGGAGGGACTGGGAGGGACTGGGGGGGTGCTGGGGGCCACTGGGAGGGACTGGGATGATACTGGGACTTACTGGGAGGCACTGGGATAAACTGGGAGGACACTGGGGGGGGACACCGGGACAAACTGGGACAAACTGGGACACACTGGGGTGCCTTGGGGGGGACACTGGTACAAACTGGGACAAACTGGGATACACTGGGACATCCTGGGGAGGTCACTGGGGGGGACACTGGGACAAACTGGGACAAACTGGGATACACTGGGACATCCTGGGGAGGTCACGGGGGGGACACTGGGACACACTGGGACAAACTGGGACGTCCTGGGGAGGTCACTGGGGGGACACTGGGACACACTGGGACAAACTGGGACAAACTGGGACACACTGGGGTGCCTTGGGGGGGACACTGGGACAAACTGGGACACACTGGGACAAACTGGGGAGGTCACGGGGGGGACACTGGGACAAACCGGGACAAACCGGGACAAACCCCACCCCCTCCCCCAGGACCACCTCCACCTGCCGGACGGTGACGATGATGACGATGAGGAGGAGGAGGAGGAGGAGGAGGAAGGCCCGGAGGGGGGAGGGGAGCAGCCCCGGCCGCCGCGGGGGGTGCCGGGGGCGGCGCGCGCGCTCCTGCGGGGGCTGCTGTGCCCGGCGGGGGCGCGCCTGGGCCGCGGGGGCGCGCGCGACTTCCGGAGCCTCCCCCTGTTCCGGGGCATCCGCTGGGGGGCGCTGCGGAGCTGCCCCGCCCCCTTCGCCCCCAGCGCCAGCGGCAGCGCCGACACCTCCAACTTCGATGTGCTGGAGGATGGGCTCAGCCGGCAGGTGAGGGGTTAGACCGGGCTTAAACCGGGCTTAAACCCGGGGTTAAACCCGGGGTTAGACTGGGGTTAGACTGGGGTTAAACCGGGGTTAAACCTGGGATAAACCCGGGATTAACCCGGGACACCTCCAACTTCGATGTGCTGGAGGATGGGCTCAGCCGGCAGGTGAGGGCTTAAACCGGGCTTAAACCCGGGCTTAAACCCGGGGTTAGACTGGGGTTAAACCGGGGTTAGATCCGGGATTAACCTGGGATAAACCCGGGATTAACCCGGCACACCTCCAACTTCGATGTGCTGGAGGATGGGCTCAGCCGGCAGGTGAGGGGTTAGACCGGGCTTAAACCCGGGGTTAGACTGGGGTTAAACCGGGGTTAAACCTGGGATAAACCCGGGATTAACCCGGGACACCTCCAACTTCGATGTGCTGGAGGATGGGCTCAGCCGGCAGGTGAGGGCTTAAACC